ATTGTCCAAGAGCTTCTGTAACTTCGTCGAACTTGGAACCAATTTTAACCTTTACAGTGACTTTTCTGTCAAGCCAGTCCAATCGGAATTTATTCTTGACATTTGAGTCAGTTTTTAGGATTGAAGACTCCTGATCTTTCGTCAAAATTTTCATAATTCCGCTCAAAACGATCCCAGAACAATGAATTTGCGAGACGAACAGGCCGCCATGAATCAGGTAAAGCAATATGTTACATGCAATTTGATTGGTCCAATCGCTTGTAGTTAACCAATCGCTGGGCCGTTTATAATCGAGCTAAGACTTCCGCAACAAATAATGCCTTCAGTGATCTGATTAGTTGAAGCTTTCATACACGTCCAATCGCAGGGCTGTTTACAAACGGAAAACGGAGAGACTGTTCCGGAGAGCTCGTGAAAACTCGACGATAAGGTACCTGACCGCCCCTAAAATTTTCTCAACGGATTTAGACGATTCACAAAAATGATCAATTTAAGAAATAAAACGGCGGATTTCCGCGGATCCGCGGAAAATTGCCATGTATGGTAGGGCCAGTCATCGCTCTCTTGCATTGGCGCAGTCCATCAGGAGCCCCGTCCAGTGCCACGCGGGCAACCGTAGCGCCAGATGTTCCACAGAGCTGCTGCCCATCACCTCTCGGCCCTTCCAAAGAGAGAATGCTGACGCCACCGCTCCTTTCTCTCTTCTTGTGGACGCACCTTTGGGCCGGGACCAGCTGGAAGCGGCTGCCAGAGCTTAATCTGAGCATCAGACTCTGCAGGAAGACAGACGGTATGATGATTTTACACACACACACATACAGTATATGATGCATGTGCGCTTGGGTTTTATTTTTGAGTAATAGTCACAGCTCTTTAATTTATCTCTTGAAATATAGACTGCACTGGGATCACTTTTTTGGGTGGTGGGGGTGGTCACTGCACTTCAAGTATTGGTACACTCTTGGTTTAGTGTTTTTTCTTTTTTTTCCTTTTCCTCACAGTTTTGCTCAATGTCACCAAAGAACCTTCCCCATTAACCCCATAGCCACTACAGGTTCAAAACCTTTCTTTCAATTATGATCTCTCATTCAAATTGACACAAGCTTCGACAGCAGGGGTGTCTGCAAGGAGGTTTGATCAGGATAATTTAAAAGTGAAAAAATGCATAAAAGGCACGGAATGAATATTTTTAATCAGGGGCAATTCATAGAATATCCGCTAGGGGGGCCCACTGTTTTGATCAGAGGAAAAGACAACATTGTTTTGATCAGAGAAGAAAACAGCAGCCTCAGTCTGTCACCGAGACACCCAACACAGCAGACGCTGTCAAGGACATGTGAATACTTTATTCTTTACACATATTATAGCACTCTCCTTTAGTTTGTAAGGTGTAGGCAGGGATTACATTTAGATTTTATATGCTCGTGTAAATGGTTTAAAAATTCCTTTCTTTGTAAATCTCGTTTAATCTTAAAGGTGCAATTACTTGTTAGAGTTTTGTGCCTTAGTACAGTCAGTGGGATCAGTTGCAATGCATATATGTGAATGATAAAAGTAAATTGCACATTTGTCGAAGGAAATCTTAAGTGCTTCATGAAATGTTTTGTAAAAGAAATGTTCATTAAATTTCAACATTTTCCTAGTGGTCTTGTCCTTCTTTCGACCAAAACAAAGGAAAGACATATTTTGGTTATTTATAGCAGAGTATGGTATAATTTTTAATGGTCCGGCCCACTTGACATCTACCGAGGCCGTATGTGGCGCCACAATGTGAAATGAGTTTGACACTCCTGCTCTACAGTAAATTGTTTTCTTCATATTCACCCCATGTTTGTTTTGCATATTTTAAAGGCCGTCCTTGTTTCTATTCACGCCGAACCCCAAGGACAGGATACCGGCAATCTGTTTGCCCCAATGATCTCATGTACTTCACGCCACCACTGTAAATATGAATCAAATTTCTTTGTCATTCTGTAAAAGAGAAAAATAGTTGCCGTTTTATTTTTGAAAGTATTGTACCTTGTTTGATTTATCCTCAATAAAATTGTCGCCAAAGAAAGGAGTCTTTGTGATATAATGAAACACTTTATAAAATATTTTCCGAACTGGAGCAGTGTGGAGACAGTTTGCTCATTTTCAATTGGAGTGAGAGTAGCCTTTGTCGCGTTGAGCTGGTCAGAATAAGCCGAGAAGGTCAACGGCAGGGAAGAAGATGTGTTTGAAGAAGTGATGGATCTTATGACTCCAAGCATCCAGTTCACGGTCTTGGGCCAGCGTATGTTGCCACTGACGCGCTAGTGTTGGAGAAAGTCAAAACATTTAGAAGGTGCACGGGAGAACCTTTTACATACTCGCTGGCGAAAATTTCAGGTGTATTGTGAATACACAAACCTGAAGAAGATCGAGACGGTCCTATCTTGGGATAAGGACCTGTCATCTGTTGAGCAAATGTCATCTGGCTTCTTACTGTGACTTCTTACGCTGTACAGTTCAATATAATTTTGACATGTCAGTGTTTCTTACAAGTAAAAACCTCTGACCTGCTGACACTTCACCTCGCCGCAGCCAAAAAGCACCTCAGAGAATTCCAGGAACGTAATCTGTAGTATCAGGAAAATCTGTACGTTTTAGTCCGTATAAGTCAACAATTCCACTGGACAAAGCGTATACCTCATGTTTCATGCAGGCGGACCAGTTGCTGGGATAGAGGGTTTCTGCGCAGATGATATCGATGACCCTCACGATGGTCAAATCGTTGTCGTAAAGATGGAGATCCTAGCGTGGAACAAAAGTAATGTTACTTTCGTGCGCATTCAAATGCTTTATAAAATACGGGCCCGATGTGCTTGTGGCATGAACAGCGTTACCTGATACAGCCACTGGGTGCTGTGTTGACCCTGCGGCTGGCCCGGTATACCTTCCAGCATTTGACGAGGAAGTCCACAGCCACAATTGTGCACTCTGGGGGCTTACAAAGGAAACCTTTGGGGCACCCCGCAATGGGCACCGGGTCAATCTCAATTTAGGGACAGACAAGCGTGAAGATTCACAATAGTTTTATTCAAGAAACTCAAAATGGTTTAGCTCCTGTTTGTGATGAAAAATAACAGAATATTCCATCAATGTTTGATTTCTTCCTACCTCTTTACATTCTTGGCATGTGGAAATATATCATCGACCAATAGTATCGTGAAACACGCAGCCAGAAGGTGATTTGATGACCTGCAACAAAAGTAGTCCTCATCATTTCAGAAAATGACTCCTGGTACGTTTTGAGGTAGAGAGAACTTTTTTTCCCAATGTCATAAAGATTGTACATTTAAAACTTTGCAGCATTGTTTGTAAAAACTTTGCAAGGGGATGAGAATTGTGGAAGAAAAAACAATTCCCACAACAGAGCAAAAAATATGGCTCCGTCTGCTCGATTTGCTTACTCCATGTCATCGTGGTCGGCAATGATCACGAGGCAGCTGAGGAACTGACTGAGCATGATGGGAGTAAAAGGGGAGTGAACCTCCGCTGGGTCTGGGTTATCTGACACCAAAGGAGTTAATCAGCGACGCACGGATCAGTGATAAAGGTTCCTGCGCTGATTCAATTAAAATTGTACACTCGGTGTTCATCGTCCAATCCCTGACACATTTGCTGTTTGACTGTTGCCAAATACATCTCACCTCATATGAAAAGGTCAAGCTCCGCCAAGGAGACGCCGTGATGGTGGACGTAACAGTCGTTGAGCAGGCGCCACAGCTGCATGCGGGACAGCAGGAAGGCACCGCTGGGAATCTGAGGTTGGCCGAATCGCCTGTGGAAACGATAGATGGACCTCAGCTCCGTCTTGTGCCTCAGCAGAACAAACCTCACCTGTTTCAATGAACATGTGAGCAGCAGGCATGAAGAAGGACATGCATACAAGGGTTCCAAAGCAAATTAAGGTGGGAAATTATCCAATTTTACTTGATTGGTGTGCAAATCATTTATTGATGACAAATGGATCGTTATTTTTCCATCTATGCCAGTAAAGTGACGGGCATCTTCAACGTACGAGTACCACCAACGGTACTTGGGCTCCCTCTAGCGGTGAAGGAACCCAACACAGGCATCTTCAACGTGCGAGCACCACCAACGGTATGTGGGCTTCCGCTCGTGGTAAATGTGGTACAGTGAAACTCCATGGGCAAAAATACCCTCAAATGTGAAAAAATCTTCATGCATTAACACCATTCCCATTCCTGCCCCCCATATGACGAAAAACCTCCTGTTGCGTTATACGAAATCATTTTCTCTGCTCCTGCCTCGCGAAGACATTCACTACAATGAAGTACAATCCAACAGCGACCTCTACTGCTTCGTTCGGAAACGGCAACAGCAACCACCACACTCGTTTACATAGTGAACGGTGTTTATTTCGGTCACAGCTGCGAGTTTCCTGGACGCAACATCTTCATAGCTGCTCTGCCATTGGCTTACCGAGCATCATCCTGGCCTCCGATTGGCCAAGAGGGACCTCACTGTCTATGTGTGTAGATGCTTTAGCTAGATCCGTGGAATGCATCCGATTAGCTGCTCAGAGTAAGTTGCTTATGGCTCGACGGACATTCAAACAAACGAACGTTTCCTCGAATGCTTTACTTGTTATCATGCTAACTGGAGCGCTAATTAGAGAGAAGGCGAGTTCCATTGCGCTAACTACGGCCACCGAGGACTACGAAACTCCCGTGGCTGGCTTTAAAAGTTCATCAGCTGAGCAATGCTGTCTTGGGTGGAGATCGAGGCTAGGTCGAGTTAGAGACAGTGAGATAGTGGAAAGAAAAGCCACCGGGATACCAGGAAGTATCTGTTATTGTTAGATTCAGACGCAGCATGAACGTTGCATTGCTAAAATGGCGACAAAACGGACCTTTGGATGTCAAACAGCGAAGAAAAGAAGAGCTCTGACGCTGGAAGAGAGGGTAAACGTGATCAAAATGCAAGACGGAGGAAGGAAAATAAAAGACATTATCCAAGAAATTGATGTAAGTGAAAGTGAATCCTGATCGTAAATTTTGCAATTTCTTTCCCTTTTTTTCTTTCTACACTGACTATACGAAGTGTCAAATAAGTGTGTGCTCATACTTATGCACTATTGGAATAAAAATA